AATTAACTCATGCGTATGGCTTGTTCAGAAGGTAGGTTCGTTTGTTCAGCTTCACAACAACTGTATTTTATTTTAGAAATTAATTTTTGTAAGGGATGAGCGAAAGTCTGTACAGTGCCAATCACTGACATGCATCGGACGAGGCAGACATCAATTTTTGCTCAGTCGTTCTGTGGAATGGAAGAGAATTTGGGGAGCTGAATCGTGATGTGCAAATGTCAATAAGCAACGGCACTGGTGCAAAATTTAAATAGCGAGATGTAACTTTTAGTTGGAGTTGCGCCAAAAATGAAATGATGAAAAATTGCGCCAAAAATGAAATGCTGGATTGAGAGACGCCAAATTAGGTGCTGATACTTCGCATCTGAACCAGTAAGAGCAAAAATGGGGGAAAGATGGCGCAGTTTTGGTCGACGAACGACGAGAAGCACTGCTTATGCTGCGGAGGAGGTGGTGCATAACTGGTGGAATCCACTTTTCCTGCTTCAGAACTTGTTTTGTGACGGATTTATCTTTCTTTAATCAGTTAGTTTATCTCGATTATAGAATGACAGGTGAGCATGGTCGGCCAGAAGTGATTGTTGAAGGTGCATATGAACCGAATGGTCCATGGACGCCGTTTGATTTTTATGCAAAACCTGGCAAACTTGATGAGGCTCCGCGATTCATATGTATGTAAATTGTACGAGCACATTCATGTAGAATCTAATCCAGCGTCTCATCGTGTTTTGTGGAGCGAAAATGGCTTGGACCGTGATAGTCTGTGGAAGACGTACATTTTTAGAGCAAGCATTTTGCTGTTAGGCCATGCTGCTAAAATTTTCGATTTCTGTTTACAATTGATGCGTCTTTATCGGGTCGTGAAGGAGTTCTTTCAAAAAAAGTTAAAAAAAAAAACTTACAAAATTGTTCGGAGTCAGTGAAACTGTACCACCACTGACGTACACTCATATGTTCAGCTTTATTAGGCAGTCCTGCCTCAGGCTACATTTCTCCAGCAAAAATAGCGCTTCAACGACTTCTCATGTCTTCGAATTCTTGAGACGCACAACTAATTTAGGGATGGAATTTTACCACTGAGTTTTGACGTCGTCTTTATGCCTGATCCTGGCTATTATCACTTTTTTTCAGTTCCTCATCAGCCGCGACTGGATTGGCAAATGTGGTTTGCCGCACTGGGAGCTTACCAGCATAACCCATTTTTTATCTCACTTACCTATCACTTGTTACGAAATAATTCAGAAGGTTGAAATTTCATTATGC